TTATACGTCATTGGGTTGAACCAATTACAAACAAATTACGGCGCGTAAAATTTAAATTACTCCTCCTGGTTAAAAAGAGACCATAGAAGAAAAAAATCATGCATATAAGGTCATATAATAAAGAAAACCGCCAGCAACGGTTGAATCTTACAAGGACAGAAGAGAGGAAAACATTTATACACAAGAGAAATGACAGAGAATATCCTTCAAATATGACACGGCAAATCTCCGAAACGCGAAATGAGTTGCCCTTAGAACAGGTTGCGCTTTTCTGCGTAGTTCTGGAATCAAAAAATTTCATCATGTCAACGTAGCGAATAGAATTAACGGTGACGGTATGGCCAGCTTCTTCGAAAAAAATATGGTCCAATGATGCCAGTCGAGCCAATGGCACACCACACTGTGACTTTTTGAGAATGTAAAGGGCGTTCATGGAGATTTCATGGGTTTTCAGGAGCCCAGTACCTGTAATTATGTTTATTAACGGTTCCATCCAAATGGAAATGAGCTTCGTCGCTCATTACAAGATGCTGACCCAAGTTATCCTGCAAAAGAACTTGCATTCTCGTAACGAAATCTTCACGTTGTTCAACATCTCTTTCCATTAATTTCTGGATAATCTGCAATTTGTAAGGGTGAAATTTTAGGTCCTTGTGCAACATTTTTCTAAACGATTCCCGATTAATGTTTAGCTCAATTGCATGTTTTCGGGCGGACTGTGTAGGGCTTCTGACGACGGCTACTCGCTGTATGTTTACAGGAGTTTTTATTGCTCTATTCGAACCTTGTCGCCTTTTTTCATGACACTGCCTATTTTAAAATTCTTTATCCATCTTAAAATTGTGTTACGAGATGGAACCGCCTACCAATATTAAAGTGAGTGCGAAAAAGCCATTGCGTAGTGATCACTGATTCTTGATTTCGGATCAAGATATCGTATGCAAAATTGCAAACGTGCGATGTTTTACCGTCCACTGCTCCATGTTTACTGAAATGACACATTACTACAGAGGTAGTAACGCTGCGCTTGTCCTACTCCCATCCCCTAAAGCTACGTTTTAAAAACATCCGGCCCCCGATTGTCACCCAGTATTTATTAAAAATTTTAAATTATCCAAAAAGGATTAAAAGGTTCAGAATATTTTCAGTCCTATCGGACAATCACCACTGAAAACATAAGACTAGTTGAAACTAGCCGTATACCGAGATCAAATGACCCTTATATTACATATTTATAACAAGGCAATTGCAAGAGAAATCATTAGAATACAACAAGCCGGCATATCTACGTTTCGTGGACTTGCTGCTGTGCTTTGTTATGAATGCTAAACGTCTTATTGGAGAGAAGCTTCTATCTTCTTCTTTCGGTGCCTGTCCGTATTCAGACGTTGGCCGTCATCATATTTACAATTTTGTTTCTCTATCGCTTCTATAAGTTTCGATACTGGCGTTGTATTACTTTTTCTCTATTGTAAAATGCTGAGGTAAGCGTCACGGAAGAATTGCTACGAGACGGCGTCAAAAGTAGCTTTACTAAATATCGGTCTACACATCGATTTACTATTTCTATCAATTCGTTTCTAGTGATCATATATTTTTTAACGTTGGTTGTTAATAAACTTCTTTCAAACTACATATAATAAAATTTTATTTTTAAACATCCTATCTAAACCCGACAAATGCCTTCCTTAAGAATTTATTCGGGGTCAAACTATAGGACGTTATCCACTGAAAGTATGCGAGAGAGATACCTCTAGGAATAACCAAAACGATTGAAAATATTTACCAAATATAATAATTATTTCTATAAGCAAAATTTCGGATTAGCCATGGCCTCCTCCTTATCTCCATTATATTTCTATTGACGAAACCAAAATTCAGATTTTTGCTTTAATATGTACCTTCTATAAATTGCAAGGTAAAACAGACGATACTAAAAATTTAAGAGAGATATGGAGGATCTAAAAGTTGCATCCCAGAACATGTCTCCTAATCTAGGCAAAAATCTTTGGCGAATTGGTTTCTTGTACTCATAAAGAGTATACCGAATAAAAAAAAGGACAGCTAAGATTTGATTTCACGTATAGTACCTCTGTGTATTCGCTTATACATATTTTGTCATAGCAGGAATCATCAGAGCGACAAGTACAGAAGCTCTAAACGTGAAAACAAATATTTTCCGTCAAAAGAAGCAACAAAAAAATCATGACGTTATAGCGACATTTGATAATAAATCTCATATTCATTGCTTACCTATCTCTGCATACCATAGTACTACAATGATTTTCATTTATACGACCACAACATACCAATACTGCTCTGTTTCATAGACTATACGAAGGCTTTCTATTCAGTAAAATGGCAACCCCTCTGGAGTATAATGTAAAATATGTGAGTACCTAAGTTAAAGTTAACCTAATAAGAAATCTGTATGATAAAAACTCAGCCAAAGCTAAAATACACAGAATATATTCAGATACGTTCAAAACAAAAAAAAAAAAGCTAGACAGGGCTACATAGTATTACCATTATTATGCAACATATATTCTGATTATATATATATATATATATATATATATAATATATATATATATATATATATATATATATATATAAACAAGATAAGTACTAGACGAATGGGATGGGGAGATCACTATAGGAGGCAGAAAAATCAGTAACCTGCAATACGCAGATGACACACTTATACTAGCAGCGCATGAAGTCGAAATGAATACCATCACTGAACGGCTAACCGAAGAATTCGGATTTCAGATCAACACCGGAAAAACAAAAATAATGGTTGTAGACAGAGCAAATAGAAATCTATGGTAGATACAAGTGGAGAATTTCGAAGTGGTAGACAGGTTTGTATACTTGTGCTCCCTGATAACTAACAATGGCGATTGTTCCGCAGAAATCAAGCGTAGACTAGGAATGGCCTGAACCACAACAGCTAAATTAATTAAAATATGGAAAGACCGAATAATAAAGAATACTAAGCTCAGGTTGGTCAATGGCCTTATTTTCCCCATTGCTACAACGCAGCTGAAACGTGGACTCTAAAAAAATTGATAGGAGTAAGATCGAAGTTTTCGAAATGTGGGCGTACAGAATACGTCTGTCATACCCAAAATTAAACCCAGCAACACACAAGAAAGATAAAAAACTACGTCTATAAAATACCCTATGAGTGGATCAATTTCTAGATGAGAGAAATCGCAAGACCACTGTGGCATTATAAACGAGCATGAAACATACATAGAGACCAGAGACGATAGAGAAATCTCAGATATGGACTGGGATAACGAGCACAGGTAACAACGGAAAGATGCATAAATAATCATAAAAGAAACAGAAATGAAAAAGAGAAAAATCAAAGAAGCAGCCCTCATCCTACTTAGTGAAGAAACATGTGTAACAAACCCATAATCAGAATCTTATACACAATACATGCAACATACAATACACAAATCTGCATTGCGCAATTTACGTTACACCACCACAATTACGATAAAGTATACACAAATATATAAAACAAAAAACACAGAGAGAGTCAGAATTTGATATTCCTAGGGTAAAAACACCAGTCTCAGACATTTTCAACCATTTACATGCTGTTGCCTAAAAGACCAAGGCAAAGTATTTAATTTTGAAAGGACATTATATATATATATATATATATATATATATATATATAAGATTCTTGAACTCCTAAGTGGAGTATAGAGCTTCAATGAAAACGCGCCATCGGGTTCTATTTTGCGCTAAGGCCTTCACCTCATTCCAAGACTTTCCTTGGCCTCTTATCTCGTCCATGATGGATCTTCTCCAAGTTTGTGCTGGGCGACCTCTTTTTCTTTTCCCTTGGGGATTCCACTCTAGGGCAGTCTTTGCGATACTGGAACTATTTTTTCGGAGTGTGTGACTGATCCAATCCCACTTTCTGGACTTAACTTCATTTTGTACCTTCTTTTGTTCGGTCAGGTGCAGCAGATCTTCGTTTCTGATGGTGTTAGGCCAGAATATACGGACAATTCTTCGTAGACATTTGTTAACAAAGACCTGCAGTTTGTCTGTGAGGGTGTTTGTCACTTTCCAGGTTTCACATCTGTAGAGTAGAACAGACATGACATTTGATCGGAATATTCGGATCTTTGTCCTTGTAGTATACCCGCCAGATCTCCAAACAGGGCTGAGCGTGCTGAAAGCTTGTTGGGCTTTTCGTATCCTTATACGAATATCGTCTTCTGTACCTCCGTTTTCTGTTATGACACTTCCAAGATACGTAAAGTTTTCCACATTTTCAATCTGCATATTGTCGATAGTAAATAGCGTGTTGTTCCTTTCATTTATTCTCATGGATTTGGTTTTATTAGTATTGATTTTCAAACCTATTTTATTGGCTTCAGTGGAAAGTGTTTCCAATTGGTAAGCTAGATCTTGGAACCTTTGATTATCGTCTGCGTATTCTAGATGGCTTAGGCGTGTGGTTAACGTCCATTGTATGCCTCTTTTGTCGGAGTCTAGTTTGGAGAGAACAGAGTCTATAGCTATGTTAAAAAGAAACAGAGAAAGCACGCATCCCTGTCTAACTCCAGTAAGTACGTCGAATTCGTCACTGTTGATCCCATTGTGTGTCACGCTGCATTTCGCATCAGTATATAGTGATAATAGAAATTATTTTTTGCGGGATGTTTTTTGCTCTAAAATTTTCCATACAGCAGCATGAGACAAGCTGTCAAAAGCACGTTCTAAAACAAAAACCATGTATAGGACATAACCTAATAACAAATATTTTTTGAGAGCGATTTCCGGAGTGGAAATCGAAACGTCAAACATTAGTTGGTTAAAAATTTAATTTTTATTACAACCAATAATTATTGGGGCTTAATCCCATATTAACACAATATTTAAATATTCTAATATCCATGGCATCTGGTAGCACTTTTGCGCCGGTATCGAGGATAACTGTTAATAAAAATAATAAAAACAAATCGAAATATTTATAACAGTATTTTACGTAAAAAAATATTACAATTTAATTAGAATATAACTTAATAGTACTATCTGCACCTGATGAAAATACCCATGGTTGCAACGGATGGAACTGTACTTCAAATATTCCAAAATCATTAAACGAATCGTGATCTTGTAATCGTTTTAAAGGAACTATTAATGGATTCTGTAACAGGTCATTATAAACCATCCCATGAGACACTATAAGACTTCGATCGTCTGAGCCAGAAGCAAAAAGTGGATAATGTTTGTGGAAAGCCACTCCTCTTACTGCTGTACCATGTAGTCGTAAGGTCTGGTATGGTTTTGTGCTCAAATCTAAATCAAACCACAACATTTTCCTATCATAAGTTCCTACTAAAAGATTATCTCCCAATGGATGAATGGCCATACATGATATCCATTTAGAATTGGTTAATAATTTTTTCAGCATAGTTTGTTTAACTAAATCATAAATTCTAACGTGCCTTTGTGTTGCTACGAAGAGGAAAGGCTTTGTAGGATGGAAAAGAACGCATTGCACAAGACCCTTGGATTTTGTGAATGGTAGTTGGGATCTTCGTTTGGATATTTGTGATATAATAACAGAACGATTTTGTCCTTCTGGCATAACTGTTGCAAAATAATCTCCCTTTCCGTGCCATGATACTTGAGAAACATCTTTAAAGTGTTTTAAATTTAACCTAATACCACGTTTATATTGATCATCGTCAGGTTCAGACCATTGCACAGCAGTGCGGACTCGTTCTGGAATAACCACATCCGATTGTGGTACTTCTTGCAGAACTGTATCTGTTTTGCTGTTCACTACAAAATCACCTAAAACAAAAACATTTTTTTCATTTCTTGTATCAGACCTAAATTTAGTTATTTTTTAAAAACGAAGACAAAGAACATAGATAAACAGGGGAATGAAAGAAAAAGGATAGAAAAAATATATCACTCCTTTTAACATTGGAAAACGCATTGGAAACCAAGAGAAAATCACATTAATTGAGAAGAAACGATATAATCAAAAATAACGATGTCTAGGGTATGTCAACGACCTATCCCTAATAGCGATATCAGAGAAGGAAATAAAGGATACACTTCGGGGACTAGAAAATGCTGCAAAAAAGAGAGATGAAAATAAAGGAAGAGAAATAAAATACATTTTATTGAAAAGCGGGAGTTGACGGTTTTTTAACAGTAACTGACTCTATTACTGATGGAAAAACAATTTCCAAATAAAAATGATGAAAACAGGCCAATTAACAGTAGAATAATCAACAGAAGTAGAAGTAAACAGATACTTATTAAAACGCTAAAATCAAGAATGATATCTGCAAGAGCAAAGGAAAGGTTCTACAGAACAGTAATTATGGACAATATATAAGGTGAAGATTATACATTACACATTAGAAATTAAGGGATGAAAAATTCTACAGAGTTATGAACAACAATAAATGATATGTGGATCACAACATACCAATAACAAATAATATGATACCTATAACGATAATTATTTAAGTAATAAGTATATATATATATATATATATATATATATATATATATATATATATATATATATATATATATATATACTTATTACTACTACTAGAGGAGATATGTTGGCATCTTTTTGCGTAGAAAAGCAATTAGTAATAATGAACACAATTTTCAAACTTCCAAAACGTCGTCTTTACACCTGGAAATCACCAGCAGATACACCTGAACGAGCTATTCGTAACCAATAGACTTCATATGTATAAATAAGAGATACAGAAATTCAGTATTATCAGTAAAAACATATCCAGGAGCAGATGTACCAACCGATCATAATATTTTAGTAGGAAAAATGAGACTGAGATTAAAAAGAGTTGCAAGGACGAATAAGCAAACAGTTACTATTGATAGAGAAACGATGCTAAATGATACTGTAAAACAAGAAATAACTAGTATATTAGAACAAAAGATGAAGTTAACAGCAAACAAAGAAGAAAGTACTGAGGAAAACTGGACGAGAATTAAAGAGATCTTAAAGACTGTTCAAGAAACAAAATTGAGTGCGCTAAAAGCAAGAAAAAAACAAGGGTGGATGACAGGAGAAATACTGAGACTTATGGATCAAAGAAGAGAAGTCAGAAATAAAGATAAAAACGAATACAAGAGGATCCACGCAATAATCAGCAGAAGATAAGACACGCGAAAACACAATTTCATAGTAAAGAATGTAATGAAATTCAACAATATGAAAAGAAACACGATACATTTCATCTGCACAAGAAATTGAAAGAGGTCGCTGGAAACAAATGGAAACAAGTATCCCAAAGTTTAGAAGACAGAAACGGATACAGAATATTAGACATCAATGAAAAGTTAAAAGAATGGGAAAACTACATTTCTGAATTATTTGAAGATGAGAGAGTAGAACACTATACACCGATTGCTATATCAGGTCCATCTATAACAGAAAGTGAGGTAAGACGTTCAATACAAACGGCAAAAAATGGAAAAGCACTTGGCCCGATGAAGTAAGTGCTGAAATACTAAAGTTTTTGGGAGAAAATGGAATTAAAGCTCTGTGTAATCTCTTTAACAGAATTTATGACACTGGCATATTACCAACTGATTGGTTAAAGTCGACATTTGTCACAATACCTAAGAAACATCGTCCAAAGACATGCGGTGATTATCGGACAATAAGTCTGATGAGTCACGTTTTGAAAATCTTTCTGCGAGTAATACACAGCAGAATTTATACGCTGTTAGAGGACAGAATTAGCAATACTCAATTTGGGTTTAGGAGTGGCTTGGGTACAAGAGAAGCCTTGTTTAGTATACAGGTGCTAGTACAGAGATGCAGAGATATAAATCAAAATGTGTATATTTGTGCAATCGATTTTGAAAAAGCTTTTGACAAAGTCCGACATAACAAAATGCTAGAAATATTGGAAACAGCTGGATTGGACGATAAAGATCTACGAATAATTACAAATCTATACTGGCATCAAGTGGCAAGAATAAAGGTTGAACAAGAACTGTCGGATGAAATAAATATAAAAAGAGGAGTGAGACAAGGCTGTATATTGTCGCCTTTACTTTTTAACTTATATTCGGAGGAAATATTTAAGGAAGCCTTAATGGAGACAACCGAAGGTATTATTGTGAATGGAGTAACCGTCAACAATATTAGATATGCCGACGATACCTTAGTCCTTGCCAATTGCGGAGAAGACCTTCAAAATCTAATGAACAAAATAAAACAGACTTGTGATCAGTATGGACTAAAACTCAACGTTAAGAAAACTAAATATATGATAGTTAGCAAACAAAATTATATACATGATGACGGTATAAAAGTCGGAGATGCCACACTGGACAGAGTAGAGAAACTCGTGTATCTCGGCAGTAATATCAATGAGAGCTGGGATCCAACCGCAGAAATTAAAAGCCGAATAGAACAAGCCCGAGCTGCCTTTGTAAAAATGAGAAACGTACTTTGCAGTCATGATCTTAGCATTGACCTTAGAGTTCGTATGATATCTTGCTACATCTTTCCTGTCCTGCTGTATGGAGTAGAAGCGTGGACCCTAACTGAGGCTATGCTTAAACGCTTGACAGCCTTTGAGATGTGGGTATACAGACGACTACTGAAAATAAGCTGGGTCGACAGAGTTAGAAATGAGGAGGTCCTTAGACGGCTGAACCAAACAACACAACTGGTCAATATAATAAAGAAACGCAAGCTGGAATACTTCGGTCATATTATGAGACACCCTGAAAAATATGATCTTTTACATCTGATCATTCAGGGAAAGATCCAAGGTAATCGTGGTCCTGGTAGAAGAAGAACATCATGGCTGAAAAATCTAAGGCAATGGTATGGAAAATCAACTACATCGTTATTTAGAGCTGCTGTCAATAAAGTCACGATAGCGAATATGGTAGCCAACATGATATCCAACGATCGATAACGGTCATGGAACTAGAAGAAGATATATATATATATATATATATATAATATATATATATATATATATATATATATATATACTAGAAATAAACAGAGTTGATATATACTTAAATGTTCCAACAATATTGGATTGGTAAAAAAGTTTGGGAAGTGTAGTCGTATAGGCACAAGTGTTCAATCTGGTGATGGATATTTAATAACTGCTACTCATCAGGCCAGGATCTGTACAAAAATAACTGAAGGTGGTTGTAGTGAGCTTGAATTTATATTTTTATACAATTATATATTTTATAATTATGAAACTAGGGATGCCCCATATGGCCAGAACATGGTATAAATAGGCCTGAAGTACCAATTTAAGTGGACATTTGCCCACGAGACGGATGGGGAAGAGGAAACTCTCGACCCAGACTGCAGGTTTATACCTGGTATAAGACTGGGTGTAACATTGTAGATGATTCGGGTGCAGGAATATTCGGTAGTGGTGGAAATTTCAACAGTTCTATTCCACTAGGAAAATATACCTCTATATTTCAGGCAGAAATTGTTGCAATCTTGCAGTGTATAAGAGAAATTAACTTGAGGGCTTTAGAACTGAAGCGAATCAATGTATGTACATATAGCCAAGCAGTTATGGGGGCCCTAAGGTGGACTCTAGGCCTAAGGTGGACTGGCGGAGCATACACTGGTATGGGTTCCAGATCATCGGGAAATATATGGCAATGAAAGAGCTGATGTACTTGCCAGACGAACATCAGCTACAAAATACTTCGGTCATTAATAATGCCAAAAAGCATCGTCCGCGACGGGGAAAAAGCCTGGAAATGAAGCCCACACTCTAAAAATATAACCAGTCAAATACATGGCAAGATGAATATTGGACGGGCATGTGCTAATATGTCGAAAGTACTGCGAAAAACAAGCAGAAACCAGCTCAAAGTCATAACAGACGTCCTTACTGGACATGTGCCAATTAATAGACGCATTCAATGGAACTGTTTTATGGAGACTTGAGCAGCAGACTCTGTAAAAGATAACGTGAAAGAGCTAACCACATCTTGCAAGACAGCGAGGCAATGGATCGCAGGCAGTAACCCCTTTTTGGAGACAACGAAGTGACTCCAAATATATGGTACACATCTCTTAGACCTGTGTAAGGTACAGGGTTCCAGAATTCTGGAATGGGTATCGTAAAGAAATAGAAGATGTAAAAGAAGCCAATTGACTGCTGTACGACCGGTTTATAACAGACGGCTCCCAGGAAAAAAATATATGATTTCGATATGCTCCCACTGACAAATTAGTGGACAATTTTTAGAATGAAAAATGAATGTTATATTAAGATTTTATCTTTATATATAAAAAAAAAAAGAATAAGAGAATAATTTAATTATTAATGATATAATCAACTCAATATATTTTTTTTTTGAAAAATATGAACATTTTTGTTTAAAAAATTATATGTTTTGTTAAAACAGTTGTATTACAGTTATATTTTTAGTGGAAGCGTTTTTCCATGAAACTTTATTCTGTAAATTTTGAACTTTACTAAATAAAACCCACTAAGATATTTTGAAGATGACAAGGATATTCGTGTCATTAAAAATTTGTATTGGAATCAAACTGCTATCGTAAAAATTGGAGATAACTACACCGACAGAATTTCTTTACAACGAGGAGTCACACAAGGTTGCATTTTTTCGCCAACATTGTTCAATGTTTACTCGCACCAGTTATTTAAAAAAGCACTTGAGAGAAAACCATATGGAATAAAAATCAACGGGGAACTACTTAATGTGATTAGATATGCAGACGATACAGTAATTCTATCAGATAATATTGAAGATCTTCAAATTCTGCTTGATCGTATTCACGAGGTAGGAGAGCAAATGGCATTGAAATAAACTCAAACAAAACCAAATTTTTAGTGTTTAATCGTGATCCACATCCCGATGCAAAGCTTCAATTAAACGGAGTCCAAGTTGAGAAAGTTCACAAAATGACATATTTGGGAACTGTGATAACGGACCAACTAGACCCAGACATAGAAATAAAACGTAGAATAGCAATGACTTAAACTACTTTTATGAAAATGAAGTCATTTCTTTGCAATAACCATCTCAGTTTAGAACTAAGGCAAAGAATGGTTAAGTACTATGTTTGGTCCCGTACTTTTGTATAGTGCAGAAGTGTGGACGCTAAAAGTATCGATGGAAAACTAATGAAGAAGTACTAAGGAGCGTCAACAAAGATTGAACAAAGACTGTTAAACATCGAAAAATGTCTTATATGGGACATATAGTAAGGGGAAGTCGATATAAAATATTACAACTGATCTTTAAAGGCAAAATAGATAGCCGTAGAGGTGTAGGAAGAAAACAAGTTTCTTGGTTAAAAAACATTCGTGAATGGAGTGCTGGACAATATTCCATATTGTAGAAGATGGAAAAGCCTTCGCAATGGTGATCGCCAACGTCAGATAATTCTAATATGGCACGCGAAGAAGAAGATATTTTGTTATTGCGTTTCGAGTCGTCTCTTTGTTTATACGCAAAAATAACAATGAGTTTAAAAAATCCCTCACCAAATTTTTCGGGCAGAGGCTGGATTGGAAAATTACTATGAAAACACAAAACGTTTCAGATTTTTTGTGTTTTAGAGATAACTTCAAATTTTTAACTCACAATTTCTAGAAATTAAAGTTTACAACCATATTTTGATAGGAAATTTCATTAGGAAGAATGTGACCTCTAAACAATTTTTGTCGTAGATATGACATAATTCGTGACATAATACAGGATAAAAGGTTAAAATATTAAAATGCCAGAAAGTGATCGTCTGTAATGTCTATTTTTCATTCTAAAAGTTTTCTAAATCTATATCTCAATTCTGGTTGTAAACAATTTTCCCAGCACATTTCTACAAAAATTTAAAGTCCGGCACGACACAACAAACTGTATATAGATTCCGTCTAGGTTATAATACCACGAATGTGATGTAAACAAGTTGTAACCTGCAGCAAAAATAAAGAGAAACGCTTTTGCATTAGGATAATACAAGCCTTTCAAGTCTGCGATTACTATGGCCAAAATCCATGAAACAAGTTTTAGGTTAGAGATAAGTGAAGAATTAATTCGCCCGTCCACATAATTTTATAAAAAGGCATGTAAGATTTTTAGGCCGACAAAAGAATTCAACTTTATACATAACTAACATTATATAGAACGTCTAACTTTATAATTTAAACCGGCACATAAAGTTAAGAATATTTCAAAAATTATGATAATTTTCAGTAGGTACGAGATCATTCAAGTATTACGTAACGCAACTAAGGGTAGATGGGGTGTCGTAAAACGTTACGGTGTGTTACAGCTGCGGAGGGGTGTTCGAACTACGCGTTACGTAACATTGTTTTTTACTTAAAGAAAAAAGTATGGAATTAAAATCTCTCAAGTTAGCAATCCTTTTCGTTTGTTTTATGGGGAATTCCTCGATTGCATTGTACAATATTGTTATTTTGTTCCTTTTGTTTATATTTTACGGGAAATCCTTCGACTGTATTGTACGTCCTCTTTATTTGTTTTTATAGTCAGTAATACACAGAAAAACATCGCTGTAGTCAGTGTTGTTAAATTGAATTCATACTGTAATGTCATCAAAAGTTGAAATAAAAAAAAAAAACGTGAAAATTGATAACTACGATGTTCGAGGGAATATAGAAAGCCCGAAGATAGCTTTCGGGGTCCAGCAGAACTTAATCTGCAAGTGATTAAATGAATCACTTGCGGACGAATGCTGCTATTGCCGCTCGAGGAGAGCATTAGTCAGTTAGATAAAGGATCATGCAAATTTTCATCACTTCTTGTGAAGTTTTCATTTGGGCAAATCTATGGACAAAGGAGTAGTAGCTCCAATTAAATTGTTTTTTAAATACCTAACCTTTTCGTTCCATTCTTATCAACAAAAGGTTTAGGAACTACATTACGAGAGTTAAGACGTACCCTGGAGCCGATATTAGATCTAATCACAACCTTTAGTTGCAGATGCAAGAGTTAGGCAACATAGTGTAATTAATAGATTTAATGGATGACGGAAGAAATACTAGACCTTTTTGAACAAAGAAGGCAATACAAGGACAAGGCAGACGAATACAGAAAAAACAAAGAGGAAAAAAACAAAAAATACGAGCGGTTAAAAGTAAAGTTGCTTCAGAAATGGAAGAATTAGAAAAGAAGCATGAGATTTTCAATCTGCGGCACAAGAAAAATTCGCGAATTTTCTGGCCTGAATAATAAGAAAAACACTAATACTCTAGTAGATAATGCAGGAAAAGTTATCATTGATGAATGAAACATATTTGAAACACAGAGTTTCATATACATACAGAGAAAATGACTGGTCAAACATACAGAGCAATGTAAATCAAGAAGGACCTAAACTTTAAAATCTGATTTTCTTTATGCAATAAAAGCAGTAAAAACCAATAAAGCAACTGGACCAGATAACACCCCAGCTTCTTCATCTTCACGTAGCAAGTCCTTTCAGAACGTTGGTTGTCGTTATAGCTATTTTAATTTTATTCACTCTCACACTAAGTGAAACCCTGAATAACAGCAGAACTCTTAAAAAATTATACATTAGTGCTATAGTTAAGTTTTTTAATGCTGCACTGGTTGTACTGTAATGCTACTGGTTAAAATAACTAAGGAATGGTTTAAGTCTGTTTTTATAGTACCTCCGAAAAAACGGTGTGCAAAAAGATGCGACGAATACAGATTAATTAGTCTGATGAGCCAACCAAACATTGACAAGTTTTTTGATGATAGATGAAACCCAGTTTGGATTTAGGAATGCGCTGGGTACCAGTGAGGTAGTTTTTGGCTTGAACGTATTGGCCAGAATGCCGCGACCAATGTAAAGATAGTTATGTGACTTTAATCGATTACGAAAAAGCTAACGATGGGGTGAAGCCTGGAACGCTTTTGAACATATTAGAAACCAAAATCATTGATGGTGCAGCTTAAACCTAAAATTGGAAGACAGATGTCATGGTTTAATAATAGAAAGAAGATACCTACCTCGTAATTATATTTATAATTCTAGTTAAGAATAAGATTTTAATTTGAATAAAAAGTTGTATTTCAGTTACATTTCCGTTTCTAATTGTATTGTCAAATAGAGAAATAAATATATTAGTTTATGAGTTTATTACTAAAAAAAGTTAAAATACAAGAATACGAATGAGAAGAACCATACGGAATAAAGCCAAAAATGTATGTAAGAATGGAGTAAAAAAACGTAAAAAATTGTAAGATTAGCAGCACTTTATTATTGTGAGTTAGAAATCTCTTGTTTTATTTATTACTATCGCAAATACGATTAAAACAATAAGGTAATTTTTTGCAACATAATTGTTAGTTTTAGGTAAAAAATGGTCACTTGGGTGTTACGTAAAGTTTAAGTAAGGGGAGGGGGTCGTGTAAAACGTTACGATGCGTTACAGAGGCTTAGGAGGGGTCAAAAATCCTCAAAAATTGCGTTACGTAATACTAGAAAGCCCCCTACTTTTTTTATGGGTATTATAGTATTTTCTAAAATAAAATAGTAAAATCGATTAAATATCTGCTTACCAACATTGGGATTGATTATCATAACCTCCTGTCCAGATGCAACTAAGATAAGTGATAATGCAGCGTTTGGACACCATTCAACGGACCTGACAATATTATCAGTTTTTATTGTTTTTAGACATCTGCCAGTATTAACTTCCCATATCTTCACAGTGAAATCATCTGAGCCACTAAGTAGGTATTGCCCTGTTTTATCCAAGCTAATACTTCTTACCATATCAGTGTGACCTAGAAGTTGTTAAGTTTAAGATTTGTTTAAATCGTTTTATATAAATAAAATTTATTAATGTTTCGTATTTTAATTCCGATTTCCGAATTAAAAATCTAAACATCAAAATAAGCTTATTTTAAAGTCAAATTGTGCCTTATTCCCAATAAAAATATTAAACTGCATATGATGCCACAATAAAAAATCTTCATACAAAATTATTTGGCAATGTCTCCGTCTCGCGTGGACAGAGGTAACGAGTAGAGGTGGGTCGTTGACGTTTTTATCGTAAGCCGATTTTCGTAAACAAGTTACTATGATTGTTTAACAGTAGTTTCAAGTAAAAGAGTACCTACATAAACAAACATAATGACTATTACCGTTCATGTGTATTTTTATTGAGTGAAAGAAACTAATGAAGGATATATTTATTATAACTTTTATTTAAAATTAAACCAGATTTTGAACATGTGTTCACATTTACAATATTTTATGAATATAGTGGTTAAGTTAGGATATACATGGCGATGGTTTTTCCACCATTGTAATGAACTCTCGATACAGGCGTACGTTTAGATGAATCATGTCCAATTAATTAATCAAAAATACACCATGGACTTATTGTGTTGTACTGGTTGATTTTCAATAGTACAATCTTCTTGTTCTTTAATTATAGAGGTAACCAGCTTTTTAACTCTTTCTTTTGTTTTTTTAGCTTCATTTTTATTAGAAAATCCCTGCACTTTAAATCGTGAATCCATAAATGTACATAATGACAATGTGCCACTCTGTTCTATCCCTCTAAATCTTTTGCTAAACCTGATATTAGTAATTGTACTATGTCGGATACTATGGATGTAAGATTACCGTTTGCTAAAGTTTTATTGCAAGATTCTTGCAGGCAGCGTACCATAACAATCACTGAACTACCCTCCAAGTATTTTTGGCCACTCATTGTACTTGTTATTTCTTTAAAGGGCCGTAAAATTTGGGAAAGTTGAGAACAAATAATCCACTCTTCATTATTTAGATTTGGTCTAAGTATGTATTAACTAATACCAATGTGGTATTAGACTCTGTGGACTCTATTATATAGAGTCATACGCCGCCATGTTACCTATCCAACGGTAACTTAAACATCACAAATTATAACTACTAATAATGTAAAACAACTACAAATTTAAAACATTTAAAGGGTTTTGACCCATATATTTTGGTGGCTAATAGCATGTACAACCGTTTGCACTGATGATGGATTGATTAATCCGAAAACGTTTTGCAATGTGTTTGTGATAGCCCGTTTGGGGCATTTTTATATACCTTTTATAAAGGATTTTAAACAATTTTTTGTGATATATAGTATACAGCCAGCTACAGGAACTTAGTTTCCTCGTGGAATTTGAAATTGGAACATTTTATTTAAAATTACAAGACATTATCCTTAAAGATTGACTAACTTCAGATCAAATATTTAACTGTGATGAGACAGGCCTTAACTTTAAAATGCTTCCATCGAAAACACTAGCTGCTAAAAATGAAGGAACTGCACCAGATTACAAAAAATGCAAAGAGAGAGTCACAATCATGATTTGCAACAATGCTTCTGGTTCATTAAAATTAAAACCTCTTTTAATCGGAAAATCCAGAAATCCAAGAGCATTCAAAAACGTCCAAATAAATTGCTTACCTACAATCTATAGCAACCAACGCAATGCATGGATGGACTGTAACACTTTTAAGGACTGGTTTTTTAATGACTTTGTGCCAGTCATTGATGCTTACCTAATAAACAAAAATCTGCCTCGGAAAGCTTTGTTGTTGTTGGACAACGCACGATCCCACCCAGATGCGAGTGAATTAATTAGTGGTGACATACGAGCTGTGTTCCTTCCACCCAATGTGACGTCTCTCATCCAACCCCTAGACCAAGGCGTTATAGAAGCAATGAAGAGGAATTATCGGCGGAAGCTTCTTCAGGTACTGCTAACTAAGCTGGATGAAGGGCTGACTGTAATTGAGACATTAAAGAAAATCACGGTTAAAGATGTTTGCTATTGGATTGCATCTGCTTGGGACGATGTAAAAGTGTCCACTATTCAGAAATCGTGGAGAAAATTATTTAAGATAAACAACAAAACACAAGACGTTCAAAATGAAACTGATGACTGTGAAGTTGATTATATAACCAACCTAGCCAATCAATTTCCAGTAGAACAACCAATCGGAAACCAAGACATCATCGATTGGATGAATCTAGATGAAAAAATGGAACTGACAGATGATGCAATTGCCAATCTAGTTCTAAACGTCACTCATGAAGAAGATGAAGAAAATACAGCTGAGATCACTCAAAAAATTTCTCATTCCGATGGATTGAAGTCCCTTGAAGCAGCCCTCGCATACATCGAGCAACAAGAAGAATCGACACCATTAGACGTGCTCAATTTTCAACGTTGGCGCAACATCGCCGCCTCAAAAAGAGGAATGAAGTTAAAACAAAAATCAATCAAAGACTTTTTTAAACAATAACATTTATAAAGTAAATTGTTTTATCTTTTATACTACTTTTATATTAGTTTTTAATTATTAAAATAAACACATTAATCATTATTTGCGTAGGTACACATTTTTTTATCAGTACATATAACCAATCTATGTTAACCGAGTTTTTTCGGTATCCGAGGTAGTCCCGGTCCCAATTACCTCGGATAATCGAGAGTTTACTGTATTGTAACAAATTTGTTCCTTGTGAAAACATGTTCAAAATCTGGTATAATTTTAAATAAAAGAAGAACACAGTTAACAAGAAAAGTGGAAAAACTTATGTTTTTAAATGTAAATTTAGACGATTCGCGATTTAATAATGTGTAATGTAAATGTAAGTACTATTTGTATTGTTTAATTTATTTTTCAAGTTATAATATATATCCTTGGTTAGTTTCTTTCACTTCAATACTTATACACATAAACGATAATAGCCAATATATTTGTTTGTGTACTCGCTTATTTGAAACTACTGGTAAACAATCAACTAGTTACAGTTTACGAAAAATGGTTCCGATAAAAATGTCAACGATCCACCGCTAGTTTCTTACGTATATTATGATCGGAACCGATCGGAACTAATCGTCTTACTTATGGGCAATGGACGTCAATAAGAAATATGGAGGGGGTACCAAGGGGAAATATGATTGTTATCTTTGTCTATTCGCTGAAAAAAAAAAAACAAAAAACCTAGTGAGCTGTTAAATTTTCAAGCACGCACAGGCTGTTTTATAATATGTTTTGTTGCACAGACTGCACGTTAATTCCTATTTATCATTAACGATATAAATACATATGTTGGCATGTAAATAAGGCTTTGATTCATCCGTGGATAAATATGTATGGTTATTAGGGTGGGTCGAAAAATAATGTTTCATTTTTTAATCGCTATACCGCGGAAAACTTGCCTTTGTGGTATATAAGTAAAATGTAAAGTAAAATAAAGTTATATATTGAACCCCAGCTAGCGCATCATAATTAAAATTTAGATTTTTTTCAGAAATCAAGACATTTTTCAATTATTTTTACTATCTTTAGCAAATAATATTTGAACGTGCTATAGTGAAAATTGTTTAGTCTAAAAAATAAGAAATAAATTCGAAACAGACAATATCTTTTAATTTGCAGCAGCGCAAGATACTCAAAAAATGGTAAAATTCACATATTTGCACCTTAAAAGGAGGTGTGGTCTAGTATGTTGTGTTGCAAATACTATCCCTACTATCCAACTTTTTCCAACACCGCCCACAATGCATTGCCAGTTCGTGCTCTGATGTACGTACAGTGGCTCTGTGTTGTATTGATGTTCCAGAACTGAGCATCGTCGTGTTTTGACGTAGTTAACCAAGTAAATATTGCATCCAGTTATGTCTGTTTCTAAGAAGTTAACTCGAACTGAGTTTGAGTGTGAATAAGCTTCCGACGTACGAGGACGTTCTTCGCTGCTGGTATAATGAACAATCTAACATCGCCTTAGAGACAAATAAGACTATTATGTAGCAATAATATGTGGCCTATTAAAGGCCTTAAAAATAAAAAACTGGAGAAAAAAAGTATGAAACAGATCAGAATGGAGAAGAATCCTAGAATAGGCCAAGACCCAAAAAGAGTTGTCGAGCCAGTGAGGATGATGAATACGTGGCCTATTATGTTCCTGCTGAGGCATGTGCATTTGCATTTGCACATGTGCATTTGCACATGCCCCAGCAGGAACCTTTTGACAGCTGCAAGTGTATGTCATTTCGCACTTACATGCGGCCATGTCAAGCAGCAAAAGTGAATTTGTCTTAAATTCTGCACCCTTTTTCTGAAAAGGTTCTTCTAACTGTCATGATAAGAACATATTAGTTGGACGATTGTGTAGGTTGTCACAGTTGGTATGGAAGCTTTATCATACAAAGCTTCTACTTTAAGAGCCACAATATTTGCAACTTTAGTAAAACAAATAGGCTTATTTGTCTTTAAGGCGATGTTACATTGTCCGTTATAGCAGCAGCAACGTCCTCGTACGTCAGAAGCTTATTCACAGGTAAGTCTTTCGGTGGGCCGAATAGTGGACACTCAAACTCACTTCGAGTTAACTTCTTAGAAACAGATATAACTAGATGCAATATTTACTTAGTTAACTACGTCAAAACACAGCGATACTCACTTCTCAAACATCAATACAACACAGCCACTGTACTGTACATCAGAGCACGAACTGATAATGCATTGTGGGCGATGTTGGAAGAAGGTGGGTAGTAGGGAAATGTGTCGAACTCAAGGCCATCACTGCCGCCACCCACACGCAATACGACGCCAGCATAACACCCAACACAACATACTAGACCACACCTTCTGTTAAGGTACAAATATTTGAATTTTACCATTTTTTGAGTATCTTGCGCTGCTGCAAATTAAAAGATATTGTCTGTTTCAAATTTATTTCTTATTTTTTAAACTATTAACTAAACAATTTCCACTATAGCACGTTTAAATATTATTGGCTAAAGATAAAGAAGCATTACTGTTTTTCGACTCACCCTAATGGCTATACCAATATAGTTCGATTATCTGAAACAACCGATTTTCTGATCACCCATGTCCCCCAATTAATTCGGATAATCGACTCTCATATATAATTTTGTAATAAAAAATCTTACCTTTATATTCCAGAGCAAGAACCGTGGGAAATGGTTGTAAATCTTTTGGACTCGGTAATTTTGGTACAAGTGATTCTGGTTCAATATTCAGTTTCATTTTTATAGTTCTAGGGCATAAGTAGAGATCTAGGCATCTTAAGAATCTCTCTTTGATAAACCGAGGATATGCTGGAACTTTTCTTAAAGAGTCATATTTTTGAGGTATAAAATGCAGCTTTCGTTTCCAAGGTGCATTTTTTAACTTATTCCATTGTTTAAGTTCTTTTTCATCAAAGAGATATTCAGGTGGTGGATTGTAACTCTCAGCATGACCTATATTATGAACACTGGATTAAGTAAAATTCATAAAAATGATCAGATAATATAAAAATTAATATGTGATTTAGCTTTACATATTTTTAAAACTTTTCTTTTTCAACTTTTAGTTACTTCTTCGGATGTTTTTGTATATTTACGTATTTACTATCTAAAAAATTGGGTTTAAACAAAAATCATTTAGTAAAAACTGGAGTACAAAACATGTTATATCAAAAACTACAAGAAGTGCACTCCGGGCTGCTAGTAGCTCATCTAACTAATAAGAGGTTACTCATGATAATCAACTACATGAAGACAGCGGGTAGAAAGATGGATAAGGAGAAAGGTAGTTGAATCCCATTTATACAAAAATTTACCTAGAAGACAAAAGATTGTAGAAACGATATAGTTTATAACAGATGACTGGAATTCATTATGTCAAAATATAAAATACTACGGCACAAGCATTTAACAAAAATCCTTGAACACATGCAATACTTTAAATGAAAATAAAAAAGTTGAGTAACTGTAGTTAATTAAATATTTCACAAATAAAGATATGAATCATACTGATAATAAAAAAATAGGTTGAGTTTACCGAAAGTACAAGCTGAATATAGCCGCAAATGTCAAAAATATTTCGGCTTGGCACTGTTGGCATGTTTTTATAATGAATATGTTGTATGCTTCAAATATAAAGAGATAAAGCTTTTAAAAAGTACATTTTGATTATACTATATACTATTTTATGAATTCTGCAATTTTTAATTTATATGAAACAGCAACGAGAAGATATTTGTCTCTTTCGAGATTAATTGCAAACATCTGTTGTAATATGGCAACTGCTGATTTGACGATTGCCAAATCTATCCCCTAATTTACCAAAGGGTAATTGCTAAAAAAAATTGTAATAATTATCTACAATTAATCTCCAAAGAAACAAATATTTACTTATTGCTGTTTTATAAAAATAAAAAATTGCATAATGCAAAACATAATATAAACAAAATGTACTTTTCTAAAGCTTTATATTTTTATATTTGAAGCATACAGCATTTACATTATAAAAATATGCCAACACTGCTATACCGAAATTTTTTGTTTCATGTTTGACATTTGCGGCTATAATCAGCTTGTATTTTCGGTAAACTCAACCAAAAAATATTGTAAACAAAAATTATAAAATAATATTGAGGACGAGCAACTGGAAGAATGCCTTCCACATTGTTACTACTTTTACATTTGATGAAGAGTGGAGCCCGACGGTATGGTTACCGTGCCACCCTCATCTGGAGAAGGACTCCTAGGGGCATTGGTTCGGCATAGAATAAGATTACCTCCTGGACGTTAGACAAAATTCAAAAGCGTCCTACTCTACCTACATCGGGATTTGTTGGGTTATCTGAGGTCAGGGGTCCACGGACTTCACCCCACGGAGTGGAGGGATCGTCGTCAAAATTCATTCAGTTGACACGGATTCCTTGAGTGGGTATGAGGTCTGGATTTACTTGGGTTTTCAGGCTTCGAATCCCGCCCGCTGCGCAGTAGTCTCTTGTCAACACGAGAGATGTGCGGCGGGTAATGCACCTACACCAAAGATCGCGTAGTGCTTGAGAGGTAACTTCCTCTGTAGTGGGCGGAACGGTGAGAGTACTCGAGTAGATCGCATCCATTTCTCAGAAACGAAACTCGAACTTTGTGGATTGGGAGGAGAGGGGGCTCATCAGCCCCCTCCCCCAGACCCTGGTGCGGTCGCAACTATGTCTCTCATGTCACCCATTAATAACATCGATTATCCCAAAATATTGTAGATATAAATTATAAAATATTATTAGGAAAGAGCAACTCAATGAAACGACGGTCACATTGTTACTACATTTACAAGATTATAAGTTTTCAAGTAATTTATAAATATATCATACCTGGTAATAAACGTCTTGGAGCTGATATATGTTTATATATTCTTCTCATTTCTTCTGCTTGATCATCAGTCTGCCATAACATATAAAACTGAGGCTCTTTTTTAGCTCTAAGTTTCTCCTGTTCTGCCCTAGTTTTTATCCAACCCATCTTTAAAGCATGAACTAGCTTTGATACTTGTTTTGCTTCATGCTTACTAGGAAGGAATGATCTTTTATGCTCTGGAAACTTTCTTATTGGCATTTGCTCCACTTCACTTGTAAACCACTCTATCCAAGGCTAAAAAAATATTGCTGATAATGGGCTAAGCCTAACTTAATGTAATTTAATCATAACAATATACAAACAAAATAAACAAGACCAATACAATAATAAAAACACCGTTAGGTATTGGGTTTGCTGAACTATGGTTCTAGAGATTATTCTGGGACTAACTTTTTGTAAATTGCGATATGCGATAAAATGAGTGGGGAAAATAATAAAAATCCATACGATAGGTAAAAATATATAAGAAGAAAAATCAGCTATTACAAATTCACAGAGAAATAAGTTAAGTGGACAATTTTATGAATAACATCGATGAAGACATGAGAAATATGGGAATGCATGCTTGGCGGAGGAAGGCGATGGATAGGGACGACTGGAGAGACATTCTTGAGGCGGCTAGAACCCACGCAGGGTTGTAAAGCCAGAATGATGTAAAATAAACAATTTTATGAATTCACTAGTAAGGAACAAGATGTGTTAATAAATGAAATACTAACAGATAATAACAGATAATACAGATAAAACAGATAATACTAACAGATAATGTCAAAATAAAATAAATATAGAGAAAGTTATCATATGATATACATAGTATGCTTATGTAGACATACTGGAAAACCGGAAATATTGGGAATTTACACAAAATTTCCACAGCACATTTAATTTTAAATGTAGTACCTGAGGTTGAACAAAATATTCTAAATATGTCACTTATAGAATCTAATAAAGCCAAAATAGAATTTAATTCAGCCAGCAGTGCAAATAAACTGATTAGATTCCCTTCTTAGTTCACAAAAAATATCTTTTATCTAAATCACTTCTAGATCATCAGACTTTTTCTTAGCTGAGGACTAACTGTAAATTGTAAAAAGCTGAAGCCTACATAAATCATATTTATTTAACAGAATTATCACTAAAAAATAATTTAAAGGCCCTCCTTGCCCGCTGTCTTAAAGTATGGTGGTGTTGAATCCAGTCACGGCCAGATATAATAAATCTTATTTGCAGAATATTTTTCTACAGTCTATTCCACTCAGATATGTGTCATACCCAGTGACTCATCTTCACTTGGCCTTACTAACTTTACTGGTTTTAACATAACTATATCTGATATTTATCTAAAATTATCAGAATTGGATGCCAATAAGATTCCTGGTCCTGATGGATTGCCTCCCAGCTTACTCAAGAATTGTTGTTTTATATTTTTCAGACCACTTTTTTACATTTTACATGTAAAAATTATATGTAGCATATTTTTTACATTTTTAATCTATCCTTAAATAAGGGTGATTTTACAGAATGCTGGAAAAATAGTTTTTAACACCTATTTTTAAAGCGGGAGATAATTAGTTGGTAAATAATTGTAGGCCCATTAGTATAAATAGTGTAATAACAAAGGTATTTGAATGTTTTGTGAATGACTATCTTAAAGCTTTACTTGAATTACAGCTAATAGACCAACAATTTGGAATTCAAAATAGCAGATCAACCGAATATAATATACTAGTGTTTGTGGACTTGCACTATACATGCACTATACACTGATTTCTCCGAGGCCTTGATTGGGTCAACCATAATATTTTAATATTTAGACTTAAAAAAATTGGTGTTAATGGTCCATTTCTTGGATGGCTGAGAATATACTTAATTGACTGAGTTCAGATGGTGGGTATTAGGGATTTTCTTCCAGCACAGTTTACCTCTTCTTTTTGTGGACAATTTAAAGTTCTACACAATTATCAATAATACAGAAGATTGTGATAATCTTCAATACAATTTTGATCAGTTGAGTGAGTAGTGTGTGTGTGTGTGTGTGTGTTGAATATTATGGCCCTGAACGCAGAGAAGTGTCACTCTGTTTCTTTTGGACGATCGAGAAACAGACAGAAAATTCTTGTTGACTGTGTTATCGAAATTCGTGATCTGGGAATTAATTTAGACTCTAAACTTTTATTTGAATCACATTATATGTCAATCATTTCCAAGTCTTTACAAATGCTTGGATTTATAAAAAGATGCACTATTTCAGAATATTGAAGCGATTAAATTACTATATTGTTCTTTAATTAGACCTCACCTAGAATATTGTTCTTGTGTATGGTCTCCATCTTATAATATACTCCGCCAAAAAAGTATTGCATCACTTATAAAATTACAAATATTTCTGACAGCATTTGGTTAATTTAAATAATTTCTTTCTGGCCTATAAGAATATTAAGGCTAGAATAAATATGAAGAAGAAATTTGTAAATACAGTTTATTGTTTAAGAAAAAAAATGTTAATTGCTATTTTGTCCGGTTTTTATATTATCAGTGTTTATTTTAGTTTTGTAAAAAGTATACAGTTTGCCTTTAATTTAAAATTTCGTATTAAATATTGAGTATGGAAGGTCGCGACAATATAAATTTAAATTTAACGAGAGATCAAGTGGTTAGAATAATTTCCCTCATTGAAGATGGAAGGAGTCAGAGGTATGTGGCAAATTTAGTGAGTGTAAATCAGTCGACAGTATCACGAGTGGTAGTAAGGTACCGAGAGACTGGTCTTTATGAAAGACGAGCTGTATCAGGTCGACCAAGAGCAACTACGCATGTGGACAATAGATTTTTAGTACTTCAGGCTTTACGTCGAAGGCATGTGACTGCGAGTCAACTTCAACATGCTTTAGCCGAGACTCGAAATGTACGTGTGTCTTCAGAAACTGTTAGGCACATCTTAAGAGAGTCTGGAATTAGGGCCAGAGTAGCTGCCACTGTACCGAGACTTACAAGGGAACACCGTATAGCACGTCTAACATTTGCAAGAGAGCACGTAAACTGGAATATCAACGACTGGGGTAACATACTCTTTACGGATGAGTCAAGATTTTGTTTATACACTTCGGATCGAAGAATACCAGTTTATAGACGAGATGGCGAGCGTTATTTTCAATGCAATCTAAGATTGGCGACAAACTTTGGAGGAGGATCTATTATGCTCTGGGGTGGAATATCTCTTAGGGGTCAAACCGAATTGGTACAGCTAGATGGAGGATCCTTAACTGCTGATAGGTACATTAGAGACATTTTAGAGATGCATGTTGTTCCTTACGCCCCATTTATTGGTAATGACTTTGTTTTAATGCATGACAATGCACGCCCACACGTCGCAAGAATCGTTACCGAGTACCTTCAAGAGGTAAATTTACAAGTTTTGAATTGGCCAGCGCACAGCCCAGACTTAAATCCAATAGAACATGTTTGGGACCATCTTTACAGAAGGGTGAGATCTGGTAATGTGACGCCAGCTAATCTTCAGGACCTGCAACGGTTGTTAACCATAGAATGGGACAATATCGATCCAGATTATCTAAGAAGATTAATTGGAAGTATGCCACAACGTTGTTTAGATGTTATAAGAGCTAGAGGAGGCAATACGTCTTACTAAATTATCATTAATTTTGATTTTGATTTTTTATTATTCAATGCTGTTTGTGCGCTTACTTCTAATTTATGAAATAAATTAAATAAAACCTTTATTTTTCGTACATTCTTCATTTTTCTTTTAATACTTGTTATGTACTTAAAAAATAACAAAAAACAACAGTACACAATTCATGTTTTAAATTATTTTTAATCCAAAATTTGCAGTTTCATAGGTGATGCGATACTTTTTTGGCGGAGTGTATTTACATATCAAAAATTGAGACAGTCTAACACAAGTTCTTAAACTATGGTTTAAATACATAACTTGTAAAGGTGTAAAATTACACAGTGAAATATGAGTCAAATGAAACATTTCAGTTACCATCTTCCTATATGACGAATTTAGATTAGCACTTTATTATTTAATAGAATTATTGAAATGCATGAGCTCCGCAATTGATACTGAATTCCAGGATTTGTTGAATCAGATCACTGATATAGATCTTTGAACTGGTCTAGACTTCATCACGCAAATCTCAAAAATCACTGCAGTTTGCCAATACTTTTAGCTAAATAAGTTTAAATTTAGTATATAAGCTTTCTACGAATATATATTCAATTTTAACATGAATGGCATTTTAGACACCTTTTAAAAATTGAATATAATTAAATTTTAAATTAAGTATAGAATATCTTACAGCATATTCATCAAAGGTCACATCAGGTATTTTTTGAGCTTTAATTCTCTTGATTAAATTAATGTCATCTTCACTAAGTACAACATCTTGGCCTGTCTGTGGATCTTTAACAGTTCTCCAAAAGTCCGGATCTTCCATTTTTTTCAAGAAGGCATCAAGTTGATCCCCTGTTTCTGGTTTTAATATTTGGTTACCATCCCAATCATATCCTACAACAAATATGCATAAGTAATAGTTTCATATTTATTTGGAATTCATCTTAATAAATCCTTACACAGGATTAAGACAAATCATATTTTTGGTGATACTAAAATCACGAAATTAAAAACTGTGATAATGGTAAAAATCATTAATTATGTAAACGAGAATCCTATAATGAAAAAAATTGACATTTTTATAAAGTTAGGAATTCCTACAAGTACATGAATGCCCTTAATACTGTTCGGCTGTAATTTTTCACATGCTCAACTGGAAGAGGGGCAACCAATAAATTTAAACTAAAATTGTTTAAGCCCTGCGAATCTGGTATTTGTATAGAAATAAATACCTAAATAGCGGAACCAAAATATCTTTTTTTATTGCACAACCAGTGTTACGTCATTGTAAAATTATATTTATCTAATAACTTGCAGTCTGAACCATTGATAATTGATGGGGATTCAAAATTTTGTTTTTATAAAAAGCATTAGTGTATCTGAAGCGAATTAGCGTTTTTTTACTCTTAGAACTATTGTGTGCCTTATTTTCATCATAATCGTTTGGTAAGTGAATTTTGTATATAATAATCAGTAGATATGTACATAATCTACATTTTTCATTTTCCTAAATTTATTTCACTATAATTTTTATACAGTCCCTCAGTTGACGGACATAATAATCAAGAAAAAAAAAACAGATACATACTGAATTTTGCATCTGAATTGTAAAGAAATAGTCGAAGAAGGAAGAAACAGGGATAGAGAAGGAAATTCTATTTCTAAACTGAAAGTCATCATTGACTACAATGATACAATGAGAGGTGTGGATCGGCTATACTAAAACAATTTATAATTGAAGGTGATTACGTGGCAACATCGCACTTAACGAAGCTCTTAACGATAACTTTTCAAAGAAATCATATTCCACTTATCAATTTTGCAGAGGCGTACCAAAAAAAAATTAATTATTTATTTGAACACATAAGTTACTGCGTAAAAATTAAATCTCAGACCGATATAATTATTAAATTATCATGTGTCTTTTAGCAGGTCTTGTCTAACAAAATAAAGTAAAATTTTATTGTTATTATGGAGTACCTAATATAGTACTTTAAAAAACAGAAATCTTAATATTGTTCTGAGGCTATTTTCTTGTGGCATTTTAAAGTAATTACTATTTAAATGGGAATAAGCCGCAATTAAAGGTTAAAGTTAGTTTATTGACGTTTCAATTTCCACTTCGGAAATCGTTCTCAAAATATAAACATTAGTAAATAAAACGTCCGAAGAAAAAACCATTCAAAACTAATGTTTGTATTTTGAGAGCGATTTCCGAAGTGGAAATTGAAACGTCAATAAACTAACCTTTAATTGTGGCTTATTCCCATTTAAATAGTAAGTAATTTAGTAAGTAATTTAGTAATTTGCAATACTTATTTTTTTCATTAGACGAAACAATTTGAAATTTTAACATACGATCTCGTCATTGCACTAAATTCTCTATTTATATAATTGATGTCTGCTATAAACGTTTAAACGCTATAAACTATTTTAAAGTTAATAATAAAGTTTATTTAATAAGTATATTCCCAAGATCTAGAATACACTACACCTATGCACACATAATATAATGTGGAACGAATAAACTAAACTATCATATTTCTCTCATTCCCATTCCGTCTAATATATATTATATATATATATATATATAATATATATATATATATATATATATATATATATATATATAAGTTTACGGATGGTTCAAGCTATTCAATAAATATGTCTCACTATACACTCGTGAATCGCACTAATTTATATTGTTACGGGGGCCAATTTTTATGAGACTACCTTACTTTTTCAGTGATTTACATGGGCGAAGCATACACAATAAAAATGACCCCGGTAATACAGTGCATTGTTCGCCAAGAGGCCTTATGTGAAAAATCCTTACATCAAACAGATGCCATGGAAGTTGCTGTTAAAATAACAAACATTATTAGAGGCAGCAATTGAGCACTCACTCATTTGTGATTTTTTTTGGTGAAGTGGATGCTGCATATGGGGAGTTATTATAATACACAAAGATTTATTGGTTGCCAGTATAAGTGCCAGAAACTGTTTGCAACAATTTCTTTGCGTTGCAACATTCCTTTGCTCCACACAAAGAAATTGTCCTTTTCCTAAGAAATGAAGTGAACATCACTACGGAATTCAAAAAGCAAACTTCTTACCAGACCTTGCATTTCTAACCAACATGACTCCTCATCTGAACAATCTCAAATTTGAAACTTTAAGGAAAACCATCGAATATTGCCAACTTGTATAGTCATATCAAAGGATTTAAAAATAAAATTAAGCTCTTAAGTCTACATTAGAGAAGCAAGATTTCACATTCTTTCCAAACTGTAAAGAACATTTTGAATAAATGAAGGACTTTGATAAAATTTCATTTTCAACTTATTTAGATTGGATTAAAACACTTATAGAAGAATTTGAGAATCAATTTGGTGATTTCAGGAAAATATAAGGAAGTTATTTCACTGTTTATTAAGCCACACACAATCTATGTTGAAAATGTAAGACCTGACCTTCAACTGGAACTGTGTGATTTGCAGTCAGATCCCTTTTACCAGGGAAGAGCTGAAAGATGATTGGACTTTTTCAAAGTACTACAGGAGGAACATTAATCCAAATAAAGACAATTTGGTCTTAGAATGGACTTTTAAGCACATACCTTTGTGAAAGCAGCTTTTCAGACATAAAATTTATAAAATCCAAATATAGATGTTCACTCTCTGATATACCACTTTGCAGTTGCTTCATTTGCCAATAACAAATGTTGAAATTAATATTGATACTCTTGTTGGTAAAAATCAGTACACACAAACTTCTCACTAAATTTAGGAATACATATTATGTATTTTTTATATGTGCAATTAACCTTGTAATGTAACTTAGCTTCTTGAATAAATAAAACCAGATATCCGAATATACTCCAGTTTTATTCATTATAAATTATTTATCATGTTGCATATGATGTGGCCCTCACATTCTTATTTTCTTATATGGTGGTCCCCAAACTACTTGGACAGCTCTGGGCTAGATCAACACCTTCATGACTACCCAACAATGAGAAAGAGGGGAAAGTAAATAAAAAATGTTTTTATTTATTGGATATTTATTACAAGGAACACATTTGTGTTGTGTTATGTGTATATTATTATTATATAAAAGAAAATATGATTTAATAATTTGCCTCATCTCAGTGAAGTAACGGTGCTCTGTCACTGAAAATATTTTTTTTTTAATTTAATTATATACACACATACGATTTTCACTTAAAAAAAAATCGATCATTTTTTTGACCAAAACTTCAAAATTAATGTGTACATTAAGGGGTTAATACATTTTTTTATCTTGTTAAAAGAAAAAATCTTAGACCAACCTAACTTCTATATAGCAACTTCATTGTAACTAATTACTTGGTATACAGAATATTTTCTAATTTCCTTCAGTTTCATTATACTGAGATTGCACTGTATACTTTTTAGTTTATTTCATACAGAATTTATGATTAGGAGAAAAATACTTTACCATCTAAATCTATCCATTGCAACAAAGATATGTAGAAATTTACATTTGGTTACACTTTATAAAAAAGGGTGACATAAATACTCTCAAGACAGCCTCAATAAGCTTAAATATTTCAAAATATGAATGTCTAAAAAGCTGTTGCTAACCATTTGTATGACTAGAAAATAAAGTATTAATATCCAAAAAAATATTCAATGCTTAACCCATTCATTCATATTTCTAGCTTTCATTCTCCAGTTTCTAGTTTCAAGTTCATGTTTGTTGTTTTAACTGTCCCAATTAACTTATTAGCTGTTTCTTTTATAACGTTGTCGTATGTCTGCCTGTACTGTTGTATCCCATTCTTTGGATCTACATTATTTTGTGTTATAAGATTTGTATTGATTTTTTGTGTATGCTCTTCCATTTTGTGATGATTTTTGAGCTTTCCATGTCATATCTCTTTATTTTATTGCCTCTATTCTTTTTCACAATTAATATTGTTGATCTTTGTTTTATTTGTAGTAGGTAGTCTACATATAACTTAAGTAGGAATCAACATAATGTAAATAACACGAAATTGTATTTACTAAAAACACTTTGCTGCATAAGTCTCCATATGGCATATTTTTATTTCTCAGAAGAATTCTATTGATTTGGAGTCAATACTCCAAAGCCTCATCCTTATGTTTTCTCTCTCTCTCTCTCTCCCAATGGAAAAATCCTAGAGTCTCAAAAGCTAATATTTGGTTTCCTCTTGGTGTTAGTAGGAACCCTATTGAATTTGGCGAAATAGGACATCTTTTTCTCATATTCTTATGCATTTTTTTAAGGAAAATGCTGGTTGAGTTAAAAATGTAATGAATGTAAGGAACTACAACATGCTAAAGATATTCAATGCAACAATATAACATTGCATCTTCATTTGAAAAAATACATCAGTAACTAACCAGAAACATCTGCTAGTCAGGTCAAGAGATCATCATAGATAAGACAAGAGAGAAGTATCCCCCTCCAGTCAGATTGTGTCTTAGAAGAAATACAGTAAAAAAAAACACATCTTACTAATGTGGTCTCATAACAGTAATTACAGATAAAATCATTTCACAAATCATGATTCTATATTACCTACTTATATATCTAAAATTAACAATAGCTTGGAAAAATATGTTTTTAAGTAAATTAACCCTAATCTGCTAAAGAAAAGCTGTGCAATATGCTACATCACAACTGTCATTTAGTTGTTGTAGGCATATTCTAAATTAGTGGTTCTTTTTATAGAGAAAATAGAAAAAGCGATATTTAAAAGTAATTAACAATCAAAATTTTATATAAATCTTGGTGTCTTACCTAAATGTTTATATTCATCATACCAATTTATGGGTATATTTCCAACAGTGTTTCTCACATCTTCTTCATCTGATGTATCATGTTCTGCATATTCATTGACAGTATCCCCTCTTGTTTTAACTGCTTCTCCACTAGATTGTGGTATTTTCTTTTCATTCTTTTTTATTTCAGTTGAAGCTTCATGTATGATACCATTATGTTTTATATCGTCTCCATCTATACCTTCACTATTATCTTCAGTATCTTCATCTAAATAATCACTATTCTCAGAATCACTATCCTCAAATGTATCATCACTATCATCTTCATTTACTTCACTATCATCATTTTCATCTTCATCTTCGTCACTTTCTTCTCCTGTTCCTTCACTGTCTTCTTCATTGGAACCTTCTTCATCTGAATCTTCATTCTCAGAATCCATATCTTCATCTGTACTATCATCTTCACTATTTATAATATTAAGCAGGTCCTAAAAAAGGTTGTATATATATATATATATATATATATATATATATATATATATATATATATATATATATATATATATATATATATATTATATATATATATACATATATATATATATATATATATATATATATATATATATATATATATATATATATTCCAAATCATTATAAATGATCCAAATTTATTATCTTCGTTTTACCTTAAACTAGGTATAATTAATATTTAACCCTAATCTCATGTATATACCTAATAAAAAAAACATTGCATACCTCATCTTTAGAACTTAATTGTGTTGGCTCTGTAGCTTCATTTATTTTCCTTTTTGAGTGTGATTTTACTTCTTGATCTTTTCCCATATTAATAGATTTTGCATTTCAGTACATGTGAGAGTTTTGAGTTTGAAAAAATTAGGTTAGGTTAAAATGCAGTGATGTTACAGCATGGTACAGAGAAACTCCCTCTGTTATCCGAAATTTATCCCACTTTTTATCGGAATATCCCTCCCCAATAGGTATCTTCGTTTATCGCGAGATGGCGCAGCGAACACACATTTCTATACATTGCAATAGCATTGTCGAGATAAACGAATATACACAATATATATCAAATTAAACCAAAGGATAAATAATACATCTTTCGTAATTTTTAAAAGATTTAATTGAAAATATGAAATATAAAAAATACGAATATAAAAAAGTATGTACAATAACGTATAACATGAAAAAATGTTATAATTAAAAGTGGTTATGCTGAAATTTTATATTTTTGGGAATAAACCACAATTACTGTTATCAAAAATACATTTTTTTCTTGTCAATATTAACACTAGAAGTTTAGAATGTAGTTGATACCTCAAACACCGCTTAGACATCGTAAGACAGCTGTCAATTATTCATTGACCTATGAAAGATGACAGTTATTTGTCAATGGGTCAATGTCAGTCTGTGGTCACTTTATGCCAGAGACATACATATCTCTGCTTTATGCCATGATATTAAGACTAAGAAGATAAGATATTGCGCATGAGTCTTGACGTCATTGGAGAGTTTGACGTTTGAAATGTCAGTTTTTTGTATGTATCAATAAATAATCTTTAATAAATAGTTTGGAGATATTCTTATGTGTACGATTATTGTAATTACTAAACCTCTTAACTTATTTTCGTCTAGTAATTTCATCACAGAATGCATACAAACCCCATTTAACTTTAACAAGAATTCAAATTCCACTCTCCAATGACGGCATGCGCGAACACGACCTATTTTATGCTACGCGAAAATCCTATCTTATTATTATAGTATCATGCTTTATGCTAAGAACCACAGACCATTAATAAAGAGGTAGGTGATCTGTGCTAAGAACTCAACTTAAAAAACTGTAACCCAGATAGAAATCTCCATTGAAATTTAAATTACTTACAGGTTTTCCCGATAGATGTCACATGGTAGGTATAGATATTAATTAAATAAGTACTGAAATAAGTTATTTTGCTTAATATGATAATATCCCTCATTTTGATAGAAAAATCCCTTTATCCCATTTGATTCAAAAAATCCCTCGAAAAAGGGATAATCCCTCCCAAAGAACATCACTGTTAAAATGTTAAAAATGGTAAACCACAACCACAAAACACAACAATAGACATTTAATATGTCTATGCACTTCACAGTACAGAAACTAGAAACAGGACAGAACCACACAGAACACACGTTCAACCAATGACGTATAATATATAGAAGTGTCCAAAACATGAATACCTTTGTTATTGTTTATTGTTTTGATACGAAGATGCACGAAGTTCATGATTTCTTACGAAGCATCACGAAGTTGATCTTGTGTTTGAAAACATCATGGACGTATGAAAACATTTTCTCCATTTTGTTTGACAAGCAAATTTTATTTTAAATTGTTGAGAGTTATTTACTTACTATTTTAGTAAAATGCCATACTATTTTATCAATATAATTAGTTCTCTTATAGACGGGAGCAAAAAGAAATCATAAATATTTAATTTTAATTAAAAAAATAATTATTGTCATTAAACATATAAATGAACACGCCGCTGTTGTGATAAACATACCTTCAACCTTGAGCCGAGATCTTTCGGACACTCGATTCTATAGCGAGAATAGGGGACTGCGTAGTCTATATATTATACGTCATTGCGTTCAACCATTATTTGACATAGTTCTTCTTTTTTAAATTTGAAATTCTCGATTTTGGTACCAACTTTAGACCTACACAGAATAATAAACAATCAGAATGCAAACTCCATAGATAAATAATATAGTCCACTCTCAAGAACGGTTGACTCATGATACTATAATAACAAGATAGGATCTTCCCGTAGCACAAAATAGGTCGTGTTCGCGCATGCCGTCATTGGAGAGTAGAATTTGAATTCTTGTTAAAGTTAAATGGGATTTGTATTCTGTGATGAAATTACTAGACGAAAATAAGTTAAGAAGTTTAGTAATTACAATAATCGTAAACATAAGAATATCTCCAAACTATTTATTAAAGATTATTTATTTATACATACAAAAAACTGACATTTCGAACGTCAAACTCTCCAATGACGTCACGACTTATGCGCAATATCTTATCTTCTTAGTCTTAGTATCATGGGTTGACTATTTGTTTTAGCACATAATAATAAAGAAATTGTTATTGTCTATTCGCTTAGCTAGGGCATATTTTGACAGACTCATTGTCGGAAACCTACAACACAACAATTCCTACTTCTCAGTATTAATAGCTCAAGTATACTACTATTGCAGACTTCTTTCTTTGAAAAAAAGAAGAATTATTCGAAATAGTGTAAGTGTATACTAAACCCATCAAATTTTCCCTGTATATTTAAAATATAATATTTGAATTGTTACAATTTAAAATATTGTAGTAAATATTTGTATTATTCGCGTTGTTTATTTAATTTAATATAGTTTTATTGTTTTATTATCTTTGTTTAATTCTTTTGTTAGTTCTATTCAGTTAATTAGTTAGTTATATTTTAAATTTTATTATTATGGATAGTCAAAGTTTTCCATTTGTTCCATCAGCTAATGCGTTGGTAAGTTTTTCTTAATAAATATGATAAAATATTTTTTAAAAGTTAATATTTTTAGATTAGTTGTTTCTAATTTAATATAAACTTGTTTATACTTACATGGAGGTTTTTGTTGTTTGTTTGTTTGGGTTTATATGACTGCAGACTGCGGCCAGGACACTGAATTCATTCACCATATGTGGAAGATTTTAACATCCTCAAATGCTAATGAGCAAAAATTATTATTGAACCACGAATGTATCTAGTCAAATTACTAATATTTGCTTTTAGCATATGGAAGTACACTTATTTTGTAAGATAATAAAACAACAGTTTATGTTAATGCTATCCAATGAACTGTTAATCTTTAATCATTGATTCCATCCTAGTCACAACATAAAGAACTTGCTGTGTCTTATTTAACCTCACTTTCACTTTTTAATTACTATTAAACTGGGAATAAGCCACAATTAAAGATAAAAATACGTTTATTGACGTTTCAATTTCCACTTCGGAAATCGTTCTCAAAATACAAACAGTAAATTAAACAAATTTTGTTTTTTGTTACATAGTGAAAAATTCTTCTAATAATTTAATTTTATCTGACTCATTTATATTGACAATTCAGACATACATTATGCATTTTAAAGTAGACGACTTTAAAATGATATTGCCAATATTGTTGAGTTGCGCTCCTGGGACGACTTTACTTATAAGTAAAGCTCGGATTTATAGGCAACAAAAATTGAAGAAAAAGGCGCCTATATAGGCAAAGATTTTTATTAAAAAAGGCAGGAATATTAACATTTAGGCAAAATATAGGCAATAAAGGAATATAACTTATTATTTATTGTACAAAGTAAATTAACGTAATATTAACTTAAGGCAAGTATATTTACACATCATAATCATAACATTAGTATAAATAAACTAGTAACTAAATAACTGTTAATTAATAATTAAACATTGTAACCACTTAAAATTTTATCATTAATAGAAACAACTAAATGTTTTTCAATATTTTCGGTCTTAAAACTATGTCTTCGATCACTTAAAATTAATTTGTACATTGAAAACGAACGTTCGACATCGACAGATGTAATTGGAGCATATTTCAGAGCGGATAATAAATCTGGCATAATTTGAAATTCCTCGGAAAATGTCCCATTCAAAACTTTAGCAACATTAGATAAAAACGAAAAACCTTCATTCTTGTCGAAAACATATTTCATTTTTTTTTAAAATTAATTGACCGTTACTTCCAGGTGCCGATTTAATTTTCGTCTTTAAATTATCTATTAATTTTACTGACTCACATAAATTTATCTCTTGTTTTTCTAATAAGGTAATTGTGGTAACTATTAATTTATAATTGTCATTGATATAACCGAGTTCCTGTTTCAATTTGGGATTTTTTAATATTTTTTTTGCTTCTCGAATGGCTTCGGAAATATCATCATCAAATTCTGACATAACTAATTCTATTTCATTGCAGTGTTCAAAGTAAAAAAGACTGCTTCGAGCCAGGTTCCCCACCTTGTAATTACTGGTTTAGGTGGCAAAGGGACACGGGAAGTCTTTCTTTATATATTTGCACCCTCAACGGAGCCTTTACAAAAACTTTTTTCATAAAATTTATAAAATTATTTACCAACGGAAACAGATTTCTTATTTCTTCAGCAATTCTATTTACCCCGTGGGCTACACAAGTGCAATGAATTAAATTAGGATAAAAAATTTTTAAATTAACAGCAGCTTTTAACATATATGCCGCAGCATCTGAAAGCATTAAAACTATTTTATTCACTGGTATAGCGTTGGGTAAAAAGAGGTTTGTTAAACTATCTTGTATAAATCGACTTATTGTTAAATTGTTTGTTTTTTCCAATTCTTTAACGGCAACTAAATAAGGTTTTCTCGCAAAGTTTTCGTTCAAAATTCCAATCATTAAATTAGCTATATACCTGCCGCATACATCTGTCGTTTCATCCACGATAATATACAAAAAATTGCCCTCCAACTCGTGCTTAATTTTTGAAATACATTCCACATAACATTTTTCCACAGTATGTTTTCTCAATGTACTCTCGTCCGGTAAGGATTTATTAAGATATTTTTCAAAAAAGCGTTTAAAACTAGGGTTATTAACTTTATATAGAGGAATGTTGGATGCAATCATCATCTGGCATAAATCAAATTTAAATGCGTCTTCCTCCTTTTTTTTTGAACTGCTTAAACTATCCCGCAGAGATGTTTGGGCTAACTTAGAGGAATTTAATTTTTCCAAATTACGTTTATGAAGTGGGGTTCCACAATGCTGGTCAATAAAGTACTTTTTTCTACTTGAAATCTGAGAATTAAAAAAA